TCTACAAGGTCTACCATACAACGCCTCAAATAGAGCCATCTCAATGCTCCCCTGATAACTGTTATTGTAGATAAAATCAATAAGTGGTAGGTGATCTTCCTAACTACCACCCAAATCAAGTACACAAGCCCGAAGCATATCTTCCAAGATCTGGATGGTGCGTTCCGACTGCCCGTCCGTCTGTGGATGGAATGTCGTACTAAGGTGCAACAATGAACCTAATGTTGTCCAAAGTCCTTCCCAAAACCTTAAAGTAAACTTGGCATCCCTATCTGAGACAATAGCCACTGGAACTCCATGTAACTTGATAATCTCTTTCACATAAAGCACACCAAGTGCTTCTGTATCATCTGTCGCCTTAATAGGCAAGAAGTGAGCCGTTTTGGTCAATTGGTCAATGATGACCCATACAACCTTATTTTTACGCTATGACCTAGGAAGACCTGTCATAAAATCCATAGTAATCTGCTCCCATTTCCACTGCACTACAAGCAATGGTTGTAACAAACTGGCTGGTCTTTGATGCTCAGCCTTCACCTGTTGACAAGTAAGGCACCTAGCCACAAACTATGTAACATCCTTCTTCATTCTATTCCACCAATACTGACGCCTCAAATTGTGATACATTTTGGTACCACCTGAATGAACTACAAAACAAGAAGTGTGAAACTCCAATAGAACGTCCTCACGACAACCTGTGGAAACCGCCAACAAACCCTTGAACCGTAGATCTCCATTTGCATGCAAGGTCCAATCTTTCACTATCTCACCACTCGAGATCAAAGTGTAAATGGCACCCAAGTTTGGATCTTATCTCAATGACTCAATCACTCATCCGATAAGAGTAGGCTAAGCCACAAGACTAAACAAGAATGCCGACTTACTACCAACATCGTCATCAAAACACTGCAATCCCATCTTTACCAGATCCTCAAGCATCTTCCATTTCTGAATGGCTAAACTAGCCAAAGCCCTACGAGATTTCCAGCTTAAGGTATCTGCTACCACATTTGCCTTGCCCAGCTGATACTATAAGTCAAAATTGTAATCTTCCAAGAATTTAACCCATTGCCTCTATCTGTTGTTCAAGTCCTTTTGGGAGAAAAGGTACTTAAGACTGTTGTGATCCGAGAATACCTCGAATCTCTCACTATACAAGTAATGCCTCCAACACTTCAGGGCAAACACAACTGCCACTAACTGCAAGTCATGAGTAGGGTAGTTATACTCATGAGTCTTTAACTATCGAGACCCATAAGCCACTACTCTACCATTCTGCATTAGCACACACCCCAATCCATCACGTGAAGCATCTTAATAAATCACATAACCCAAGCCACGCTCAGATATCACTAACACTGGAGTCATAGTCAACCTTGTCTTCAACTCTTGAAAGGATGACTCACAAGCCTTATTCCACGCAAATTTGATTCCTTTTCGGGTCAATTTGGTCATAGGCACTGCCAAACGAGAAAAATCCTTCACAAATCTTCGATAGTACCCCTCTAGGCCAAGAAAACTACGGATCTTAAATACATTTTTGGGTTACTCCCAATTCAAATCTGTTTCAATCTTTAATGGGTCAACTGACACTCCACCTTCCGAAACAATGTGCCCCAAAAATTTCACCTCTTATTGCCAAAACTCACACTTCTCATATTTGGTATACAAGCAGTGCTCTCACAAAATCTGTAGCACAATACTCAAATGGATCTCGTGCTCCTCCTGAGTCCGTGAATACACAAGAATGTCATCCACGAAAACTACCATAAACTGGTCCATAGAATCGTGAAAGACATGGTTTATTAAGTCCATGAATGCCGTTGGTGCATTAGTCTGACCAAAAGGCATAACAAGGAACTCATAATGTTCATACCGTGTACGGAACGTTGTTTTCGGGATATCTTCATCCTTAACCCCCAATTGATAGTTGCCTAATCCCAAGTCAATCTTCAAAAAACAAATGGCTCCCCTCAACTGATCAAACAAATCATCTATCCTTGGTAAAGGATACTTGTTCTTGATGGTGGTATGATTCAACTTCCGATAATCAATGCACAACCTTAAAAAACCATCTTTCTTCTTAGCAAACAAGACCAGTACGCCCCACGGTGACACACTCGGTCAGCTGAAACATTTCATCCTCAAATCATTGAGCTGCTTCTTCAGTTCTTCCAATTCTATCGGTACCATACAATACGGTGCCATAAAAATTAATGTGGTACCAGACATCAAATTAATAGGAAACTCCACCTCTCAATGTGGAGGCAACTCCATCAAATCTTCTAGAAACACATCCAAAATGTCATGAACAATCGCCGAATAACCCCTTTCCACAACATCATCTTCTTCAGCTAAAAGACTAGCTAAAAAGTAATCACCACGATCTTTTCTACGAATTCCATAAAATGATAAAGTATGGGAATCACTCTGATCTTTAATGAAAAAGAAAAAATCCCCCTTGGGAGTGCAAACTGTGACTCTTCCTCTGAAACAATCAATCGTAATATGAAATGAAGTTAACCAATCCATCCCGAGAATGACATCAAAGCTAATCATCTTTAGGAGGATGAGATCAAACACAAATGTCCATCCAGCTATCACGATGGAGCAATCCCTTATAATTCGACTCAAGAACACTGAAACCCCAACTCGCATATGAACACACAATGGCCGATCCATAAAACTGACCTCTAACCCCGATGCAAGTGCAAATGATGATGATATGAAGGAGTGAGATGCACCAGAGTTAAAGAGAATGCGAGTCCAAGAACTAAACACTGGAAAGATACCTCAGAGAACTGATGGTCCAGAAGATGCATCAGCCTGTGCAAGTGCAAAGACACGTCCCTTTGGTGCCTGTGCTTGAGAACTGCCAAGCTGTACACCTGACTATTGCACTGACATAGTAGGAGCATCTGTCCTAACTGGTTGTGAACCCTGAGAAGATATGGTAGGCTGTGGTGACAAAGGTGGCCTAAAACCTGACTGAGCCGTAGTTGAATGTGACGGCCTTTGCTGTGACCCTCTACCACTACCGATGCCTGCTCCCCAATTAGGATAATCTCGAATCATATAGCCACACCAATAACAAGCTCTCGATGCCAAAGAAATTGAAGACGATTTCATAAGACAATTGGACTTGTAATGTCTAGGCTGCTGACACTGGTAACATACAACCCCACTCTTGTCTGACCCAATTGGCATAGGAGTAGTAGGAGCGGATCGTGCCGACTACTGCCCCTGAAATTGAGATGAACTACCCCAGTTCCTCTTCCATGAAGGTCCCTATGAAGATGATCTGACATTCCTCTTTTGTTTCCATTATTCCCTTCCTACATTTCTGTCTTTGGCTTCCACCTTTAACATCAACACTCTTTCCACTGCCTCCAAGTATACCTTGAAGTACTGTGCCGTTATCAATGGCCTCATTTGATAGGGAAGGCCAGAGACAAACTTTCGAGTCTTGTCAGCCTCATTTCTCACTAACTCAAGAGTAAAGCGAGAAAGAGAGGTGAACTTGTTTTCATACTTCGTCACTGATATGTTGCCTTGAATGAGATCATCAAACTACTTCTTTAGTTTCCACCTCTTAGTAACCGTAAAATATTTCTCATAGAATAGCTCTTTAAACATATCCCAACTCATATCCTCAACCTTGTGCTGATTAGTGATAGACTTTCACCAAATCTTGGCATCTTTAGAAAACTTGGAAGTAGCCAAGATGAATTTAAGATGATCGTCCGTCAAGTGGTTTTCCACTTGGTCCATGTAGTCGTTCGCTACCATTGGGTCTGCACCACCCTCAAACATCATTAGCATCAACTTTGAAAACCCAGTAATCAACTTAAGTCATTTCTGAGCTGCCGTCTCCTCTACTTGAACTATCGATTATGGTACCGCTTGTGAAAGAGAAGCAATTGTTGCCCACAAAAGTGTTTTTCAACAAATGGTTCAGTGCAAGTTCCGCCGAACCTTCACCCACTTCAACGAGTGTCACAACATCATCCCTTCTAGTAGGAACACCTCTAGGGGTAATCAAGTCCCTCAGAAGTGTATCCTCATCAACTTGCTCTGCTGGATTGGAGCTAGAGCTTTCTCCAACATCACCCCTTGTCAGCCTAGAGCCAACACCCCTCGGTTCCTTTCGCGGTGGCATCGTGCTATAAAATGAGAAAATGGTTCAATAACGATAACACTAAGGTCCAACAATGGACGACTCAACACAAATGATGCCACACAAACACTTAACATCCATAACTATGCAATAAAAACATTAACATAAACACATAGACACATATGCAAGTACGCAATTAAGTATGCTCCTCCAAATAATAAAACACGTAGCAAATAATCACATAAACAATGCAAATGACTTCCCATGCAACCCTATGTAGGCCTCTACCCGTCATCCTAATGGTTTTCGAACCATGGCTCTGATACCAATTCTGTAACGACCCGAACCAGTGGGTCCGAACAGTTAACCGGGTCCTTAACCAAACCCGAGGTCAACTAAGGGTGACACCATCTTTTCCTATGTCAAATACATGATACATGAGTCATACTAGGACCAAAAGTACACTAAAGACACAACCTAACAATAAGGGTCAAGTGTGCAAATCAAAAGGGACCTTCGTCGGCCGGTTGAAATTGTAGGGTCGATTGGTTGGTGGAGATGATCAACCAGCCGAAACGACTTCTCAAATTACATGCTCTAGGGACTTTACTAAAAATGTCCATCGGTCGGCTAATGGCAAGGTTCGGTCTGCCGAACTTGAGGTTTCGGTCGGCTGACGGTAAAATTCAACCGGCCGAAACAATGGCCCTCCTGGCTCAACTCTCTAGAATGCAACAAAATGCACTGTCAGCCGGCTGATGATCCTTGTCAATCGGCCGATAGGCCCTGGAATGCTACTATGTGCAACCTCAAACATCTAAAATATTAAATTCCTTGTAAGCCAACTTATGAGGAAACCTGATACACAAACAAGTCCGAATTTATGGCAATAGAACATGACATTATACAATTGAAAGGTATCTATAATTGGTCAGAATATAACTTCATTTCCTATTCATCATGAAATAATTACATAGTCTCACTTTACTTCAAAATACCATCAAGTTTTATAGTTACAATACATGACTATGGTTCACAAATTGTCTACACATTTTTATGGATTGAGACTTTGCAAAATAATGGATCCAAATATGTAAAAGATGACAAATTCTTTTTTGAGCCCTGAAAAATATTAAATATAAGGGGTGAGCAAAATTTGCTCAGTAGGTGGTACCTAAAACACACCTCTTATGACCTCGTGAATCCAAACAATGAATAGGAATAGATGATATGGGTCATGCTATACCGGGAAAGAATACAACATCAATTCCAAATTCGAAACAAATAATGTCGTGCCATGAAATGCGATGCTATGTATGTCGCTTTCCATTTTCAAGATCATTTCCATTCTCCACTTTACAAACCGTTAACATAACCCATCCCTCGGTGACTTCTCTACGACACGAGATAAGGATTGGCTACTGTCCCTGACCCTTGCTAACCCCGTGATGCCATAGGGCCCAGACATCCCAACCACGCTAGGGAGATTTCCCTAGTTCCCTCTAGGTTATATTAATGCCACGGCCCTTTGGTAACCTCTTGGCGACCGGGTTTTTCACAAAACCACTTTAATCAAAACTTTACCCCAAAAATCCCTTTTTTCATTCACTTCAAATCACTTTGCCCTTTTTCATGCCCATTGCTATACATGTATGTCACATACCTTTCCAATATTATGAAAATGAAGGAATTTATACTACACAAATTAACATGCTTTCTTATAACAATTTCCAATAAGTTAATAAACACCATAGGCATGAAAAATTCACACTTAAGCATGTTTTTCACACAATTCAATTAATTCACATAATCATAGATTTCATATACAACAATTACATCATTTTCAAGGCAATCAACTCAAATTAAACATACTTGACAACAAATATTGAAGGAAAATTCACAAAGGAACAAGAAATTGGGAATTAGAAACCCCTATCTCAAGAAATGCAAAAACCCCCAATTTTGTGCCCTAGATTTCAAATTTTCAAAGTGCACCAAACGAAGAATTGCTCCGATCAAATTATAGATCTTGACATGCTCTTTAATTTGCCGTAAATGGCACCCAAAGTTTCCAAATGGTGAAGGAGAAATCAAGGACTGAAGGTTTAAAGTAAAAAAGGAGAAAGAAAAAGAAAATAAGAGTGAGGGAGAGAGAGATTTCGTAGAGAGAGAGAATTGTGTGGCCATATGTGGCCTCTTTGGTCTTAAAAAAGGTGGTGGGTCCCACATCCAAAAATATTTCTTTTCTCTTTTAATTTCAACCACAAATATATATATATATATATATATATATATATGCACATATTAAATCACAACCACATAAAACACTTTAAATAAAATGCATGAGATGCCAATGGACACGACTAAAATCTCCGTACGCAACAATTCTGGTTGCAGGTTCCACATGGGACCGTCCGGCCCGAAAACAGAAAAATGCAAAAATGATAACCCTTACATTTCAAAGAGTTCTGAACTCAATGAAATGCCCCAACCAACTCCAGGCATGCCCGGCACACTCCACGGTATCCGGTATGCAAAACAAAAAAAGATAAAAATGCCCTTGCAACAACAGAAAATTCCAAAAAATGAAAAATGGTGAAAAATCATAATTATTACAAATACCATCATCTACCAGGATACACACATCTCATATTCCAGCTACCCATCCAAATCTGGCAATAAACGCCTTATCTAACCAAAGATCCTAAAACCTCAAGCTCGTATCATGGCTCACATACATATATTCAACATCAATAAATAAATGCCATATCTAATAACGACACAAGTAGAGTATCATGACTTACTAGCCAGCCCACCTACACATCACTCAATACCATATCTAATAATAGTATAAAATATCAAAGATCTTGACTTATTAACCATTTCAATGATCACATCACAAACAAGAATAAATTTCATCATATCAACAGCACAATAATTATAGTCAATTATAATTCCAATGAAGAACAATAGATATGATAGAAGCATGATTAATATCTTAATAATCTTTTATTCATAACTAATAATGTTAAGACAAATAATTATTGTCATGTATCATGCTAGTAATTCATATAAGTAAATCAACAACAATGATTAAAATAATATAATCAACAATCAAATTTAATTACACAAATTAAATATCAAGAAAGATTATATCATATTTCTTTAATTAATTTAATCATTCATAAGTAAATCAACAACAATGATTAAAATAATATAATCAACAGTCATATTTAATTACACAAATTAAATATTAAGAAAGATTAAATCATAGTATTTATTTAATTAATTTAATCATTTCCATCGAATATCAAAATATGAAGATCTACCACCAAAATATATATTTTAGACCCATATTACTGTTCTCAATACTCATAAACATGTTCGGGATTAATTATACTTAAAACGGAGTCATTTAAAACAATTTAAACAAAAACAACCCCTAGAGCTTGAGCACTGCACGTCGGACAGCTTTGTACTTTGTGCTTCAGCACAACCCTTTGTGCTCGAGCATAAAGTCGCTGGGCAGAATTCGTAGGTCCGTTCTTAGCCTGTAAATTCCCGATTTGGATCCTAAAACTTGCCTTCTAAGTCTCATATGATCATCAATAATTTATATAACGAATATACATCAGATCTAACAATTTAAAACAAGATTTATGCATCAAATCAAAGAATATTTATCAAGTTGAAGAACAATACAAATAAACACCAAATCCGTCAATTAAAATTCATGCATATCAATTTATTGATCCATTTAATTTTTGATTTAATTCCTAATGCCTAGCATGTGATGGAGAAATCATAGATTCAAATGAGAAGAAGTAGAATAAGAAATTGCCATATAATTTTTGGATTAAAAATCAACTATATGAATTCTCTGGTTTTCTTTTCTAGATCCGACAACCTCCAAGCTATTCCAGTCACTTTCTTCTTTCTCTTCACTCTCTCTCTCATTTTCTCTCTAGATCTATGCCTCTTTTGCAACTCACGTATATGTAAAAACTCTCTTCTTCTGACTACTACATCTATATATACTAACACCCAAATCTTAACCTAAGTCTAATTAGAAATAAAAATTAAAAATAATATAATAATAATAATAATACAAACAATATGTATATATATATATACACACACACACACACACATCATAACATATATATATATATATATATATATATATATATGCACTCATGGGTTATAATCCTTACCCATCTAAGTTTTCTATTCAAGTAGTGCATGAAACCCTTTTAGTTGGTCCATTATTACTATCCAAATTCATCCCTTTAAACAAAATACAATAAAACAAATAAAATATTTAAACCTAACAATTAATTACAAATAAATACACACAATTAAACAAGCAATTACACATACAATTAAATCACATAATTCACATTTAAACAATTTAAATCAATTAAGCACATAAAAACATAGCCACATAATAAAATAAAATGCTAATAAAATAAATCCAAATAAATTCTTTTAATCTTTAATAAATAGATAAATTTAACATTATTAAATTAGATACCAATAGAATATATATCTATAAATTTATATAATATTATTATTAAGGAACTCCTCAATTTGATATTAAAATTTTTAAATATAATATAAAATTACAAAAATTTTTATTTATAGAATATATACCTTGTGTATCAATATATATCTATATATATATATATATATATATATATATAGTAATGATCTCTTGCTCCCTATAGAGCAAGAAAATTCATCCGCACTTTCTATAGTAACCATTAGATCTAATCTAACGGTCATTATAGAAATGTACGTCCATCATTTCATTTTAATACAAAACCATTGTTACTATTTTTAGTTTCTAAATTTAATATTATCCATTTACTAGTACCACTAATTACAATAATAAAATGTAATTACCACAAAAAATTTGAAACCTCTTCACCTCTAAAAACCAAGTCTCCCTCAAAAAAAAAAAAAAAAGGGATTATTAAGATGGAATGTGATGTTTTGGTTAGGTTGGGAACTTTGTAAAAGATCCACAACCAAAAAAATTTCATTCCTTATTTACTTAATGCACTTGCACTTTCTTTGGGTTTAATTTATGCAATTCCCTATATAGCTTTTACATTTCCTGCAATTTAAATTATATTCACTTTACTTTTAAACAATCTCCGTAGAATCACACTTCTTTTTCAGTGCAATTTTTTTTTTTTTTTTTTTCCTTTGGAAGTCCGTAAATTGAACTTTCAAAAATGAGTAGGATTTGCCAATGCCTTCCTAGCCCAGTTGCTGGTTGCGCCCCATTTTAATTAATGGGAGTTCTGCTTTGAGTTTTGACGCCTCTAACTTTTAATCTAACAATATTGTTTTGAAAAAAAATAAAAATAAATTAAAAAGTAGTTAGAATTCTCTCTCCTTTGTGAGCCAATTTCAGAAGCCTAGTTTATTTTATTAGTTGCATTATCAATTGCTAATTTTACAGGTTTAGAGAGATCTCCAAGTTTGAACAACTTAGAGAATCTTGATTTGAGTTATAATCTCTTCAACAATGACATCTGGTCATTTCTGCAAAGACTTCCATCACTCAAGACACTGTATATGATAAACTTGAATGTAACCGTTCAAAGTAGAGGTACGTCTACTAATTTTAGAATTTGCAGTTCTCATGACTGAGGAGATTCAATGGTGATGAGTGAAAACTCAGAGAATGCCCTTCATTACAGTATTGCCCTTAGTTTAAAACATTATATATGGATTTAAATTTCTGTCATTCCTGTGCATCTTCTTACGCTCCATGCATGTTTACAGACTTGCACAACCTCACGAATGTGGAAAACTTGTTCTTGGATTATGCTACTCTTAGCAATGACTTCCTTCCAAGCATTCAAGTGATGACTTCTCTTAAAGTCCTGTCACTACAACGTTGTGGATTGACCGGCACCTTACCTTCTACAGGTAAACATAGAATAAAAATGCATTAGACCCCATATGTGGGCTTGCTTGATTTTTAATTCTGAATAGAAAACTATTTTCAAATAATTATAAAAGACAATTCTCTGTAACTGAGAGTTTTCAGAAAATAGAACCAAACAAAGTTTTTTGTAAAGTTTTCTCTTTTCAATTTTATGAAAACGTAAAATTGTTATCAAAGTTACAAACCAAGCAAACTCTATCTTTCTCATTCACTTTCTCTCGCGCGTGCACACACATCGGTCTATAAGTTCTTTTTATGTTGCGAATATAAAAATGTTTATTATGCCAATTAAATTAATTCCAATGTTTGGGGCTGTGTGAACTAAAGAATCTTCAGGAGCTTGACCTGTATGATAATAAAATGGAGGGTGACTTGCCTCAATGCATGGAAAACATGACATCCCTTCGATTCTTGGATCTCTCTTTCAATCAATTTACTAGGAATATTGCATCCTCTCCACTTGTTCATTTTACCTCTCTTGAATACCTTGCCCTGTCAAACAACAATTTCAAAATTCCGATCTCCTTCGGATCATTTTTCAACCACTCAAAATTGAAGGTCATTGACAGCCTGAACAACGAAATTGTTGGTCGAAACAGAGTTTGATCAGACCTTGGTTGGTGGTCCAAGTTTTCAACTAATTGGCATCCATTTATCTGATCGTGAATTTGGCAATGTCGACAAGACTAGTAGTACTGGAGCCTTTCCTAACTTCCTGTACTACCAAAAGGACCTCCAAAAAGTAGAGCTCTCTCGAGTGAACTTTAAGGGGACGTTTCCAAATTGGTTGTTGGATAACAACACAAGATTGGTGACACTTCTGCTACCAAATAATTCTTTCACCGGACCATTTCAGTTGCCACTCCTTCCCAAGACAGGGCTTCTAGCATTGGACATATCCAAAAATCACTTCTATGGCAACATTCCAGAAAACATTGCTATGGCTTTTCCGGGTTTAGAATTCTTGAACATGTCTCTAAATGACTTTGGAGGTACCATTGCCTCCTCATTAGGTGATATGTCCTCTCTGCGTGTTCTGGTCTTATCAAATAATCAACTCTCGGTGAAATACCGGACCACTTGGCAATGGGTTGCTTCTTCTTGATTTATTTGAAACTATCATATAACAATTTGCAAGGCCTGATGTTGCCAAGAAAAAGTAACCTGACGAGGTTGAATTATTTATACCTGGACAACAATAACTTCACAAAGATCTCAAGTAGCTTATCTATCTCTTCGGAATTGGAAAGATTGAATATTAGTACAAATCATTTGTCAGAGAAGCTACCTGGGTGGATGGGAAGTATGTCATATCTGAGGCATATTGATATGTCTGGAAATCATCTCGAAGGTCCCATTCCAACTGAATTTTGTCAACTATTTAATCTCCATATTTGTGACCTGTCTGAGAACAACATTACTGGGACTATACCTTCTTGCTTCAACCCGGAAGACACAGTGCGTGTTCATCTGTCTAAAAATAGGCTCCAAGGACCATTGCCCCATGCATTTTACAACAGCAGCTCATTAAGTATCTTAGATCTTTCATACAACAACTTCACTAGTCACATTCTGAACAGGATTGGAACCCTTTCTAGTTTGAGAATTCTTCTCTTGGAAAGTAATCGCTTTGAGGGCGAGATCCCCACCAATTTTTGCGGCTTGACTAAGCTGAGCTTGATTGATCTTTCTTATAACTTTTCTGGCTCTATTCCTCCTTGTCTAAGTCGCATCAGTGTTCACGGACCAACTCGGGTACCTAGTTTTATAATAATTCCCTATTTACAGTTCACGTTATTCTTAGTTGACTTGAAGCAGATGTCAAAAGGCAGACAAAACATATACAATGATTCAAAATTTATTTTTATTATAAAGGCACACGTAGAGTTCACAATCAAAAGAATTGCCCGCTCTTACAAGGGAATCAATCTAGAACTCTTCTCAGCAATTGATCTCTCCTGCAACAAATTGACTGGCCACATACCACATGAATTTGGAAACCAAGGCCAAATCAAGTCGCTTAACCTGTCTCACAATGGCCTGAGCGGGACGATCCCAACAACTTTTTCAAATCTGAATAACATAGAGAGCTTAGACCTCTCCTTCAACAACTTGAGTGGAGAAATTCCTTCACTGCTTACTGAGCTACACTTTCTGGCCGAGTTCAATGTGTCGTACAATAACTTATCTGGCAGCATACCACGGAGTCAAAGTATTGTCCAATTCGATACATTTGATAATAGTAGCTACATCGGGAATCCACATCTTTGTGGACCACCACTTTCAAGAACTTCTACTGCAGCCATTGAGCCGCGGAGAATCATCATGAATTGCAGTGAAGTCGATGGTGGCTTCATGGACATGGAATCTTTCTACGTGAGCTTTTCGGTGTCCTATATAATTATGTTATTAGGGATTGCAGCTGTTTTTTACATCAACCCCTACTGGAGACGGGCATGGATTCATCTAGTTGAGGTGTGCTACTACTTTGTTGTGGACAATTTTCGAAAGGTATTTTGTCAAGGATATAATTAGGCATATGTGTGTAAAGCTGGTTGAATGTAACCCTTTTTACTGTTTTTCCTTTCCAGCTGGTGCTGCTTTGGAGATCAAACTATATAACATCTCCCACTTATTATCAATCATAATTGGTTCACTAAGAAATAAATTTGAGTTTGGTAATTCAAATTTCTGGTTATTTTACTCTAATTTTACACTGCGTTTGATTCTATTGTTTAAGTTTTGTATCAAACGATTTTGCTCCACTAAAATGGAATATATAACATTGAAAAATTCCAATAATTGAAATATAAGAAATCACCCGCTCATACAAATCTGCCCAGTTCTTTCTCATGTAGAGCCATTGACTTTTGATGTTCAATCTTTGAACTGGCCTACACTACATATTTATTGAATAGTCTAACAACTAATCAAGCTTCATTCCAGAAGGATATATATATATATATATATATATATATATATAACAGGACGTAAGAGTTTACATGGAAAGTAATGTGACAGAGGGTAAAATAAAAGCTAGGCTAGGTTAGAATAAAACCTATTTTCCAAAAACTACTGTAATATTAAAAAGGCAAACAACCTTGGAAAATATTATCATTTAGCAGGCATATCAACTCATGTAATTTGTAAACTGTGAGTTTGATTTGGTGTTTATTTCAAATGGGACACGACAGTAGGAAATTCTGTATCAAATTGTTGGGGAGAGAGACAGGGTGTGAGTGTGGGAATAAAAAAAAAATCCATATTTAAATTTGTCAAATTGATTAACAAGAAATATAATAAGTGCAAGAAAATGAAAAATAAGGGACACCAAGATTTAACGTGGAAAAACCCTTGTTAATGAATCAAGGGAATATATCATTGGACAAATTGATATAATTTCACTATCAAGAATAGGGATGTTAACGGGCGGAGTTGGGGTGGGTTTAGCTAAACCTTACTCCGCCTCTTTAAAAAATTTGTCATACCAACTTTGCCCATATTCCGGGAAGCTCGACGGGTTTGTAATTGGTATATCGTACGTCCTCGCCCCTATTCCGGCAAACAAAGTAGCGATTCCGTCCCGCATACTCCTTTTAATTGCAGGGGCGGGGTGGGTTATGCTCGACAGGTTTGTAATTGGTATACCGTCCTCTTTACATTGACCTTTGTCATTAAGGGGGTCCAAAAACAAAGTATGGTGCAATGCACTTTGGCCATAGAATCCTTATGACCACCAGGTTCAATCCTGGCCTTTAAAAATCCTCACCACTAAAGTTACTAAAGCGGCATCTTTCTTGTATGCACTAGGGAAAGAAAATGGAGCTTTGGAAAGAGAAAAAAATGTCAACAAGGGAAGAGTGGAAGAAGAAGAGAGAGTAGACAGATCAATGGAGAATCTAGAGAGAGAGTTAGAGAGAAGCTCTCAAATAATAGCTCCGGTTTTGATTTTTAAATATCGATTTTGAACAAAAAGACTCCTATATCTCCAATTTTGATTTCAAAATGTTGAAAATCACTCGAATAAAAGACTAGTTAGGAATGGATTTTGGTGCTGAAAATTTTCACATACGAAATTTCATGTGATTTGGATACTCAATTCACTATGAATTAGATTACCGAGGTCTCTGTAATGAGGTCATTATTGAAGATAAGGCAACACGAGGCAATATACTTCCCTTATGTGAATTAATGCAATGGTCAGATTTATTCATGAACCATATTGTACTTAAAAAAAAATTACACAACGGTTAAACATCACTCACCAAGCTTTACGCCAACACAAATGGCACGGCTACATAAAACTAAGGATACGGACTTGAAGTTCAAAAGTTAGACACCCGACTGAGATTGAGAGTTATGTGAGTGGGAAGCTGACCGTAATAAAGATGTCATTAATATTCTTGATATCATGATATCAGTACTCACATAAAATTAATTAGATTTTGTCGGGATTCTATTATTACTCTAAACCTAATTAGATAACATCTTCACCCTCTATTATTCATAGTGCTCGGAGAAAAACCAAGGCATAAGATTAAAAGCAAAAATGAAATACAGATATACATGTAGACACTAAAATTTTAGTGGACTTCGATTTTTACAAATGGTCCTGTTAAATATGGGCCTAATGTTTAATTAAGTTATTTAATTGCCCAAGTTTGGTCCACTTAAATTATTTAATTAGCCCAGCCCAGATGGTTAAATATATAAAGGTAATTATTACTAAAAATATATATTTGGAATAATTATTTTTAAGGATAATTATTATAATATAACCGGCCCGGCCCAGTTATTATTTTATCCTTATCAAGAGATAATACATGTCATCATCCTATGGATCCAAGAATCTAGAGATTCAGAATTCAGAAGTCCAGAGACTCAAAAATCTAGAGACTCAGAAGTCAGAGGCACAAATTCAGAATCCAAACCCAAAAGTGAAGAACATCTAGCACATCTAACAACGTGTCGTTCTTCATCAAATCCCACGGTGATCAACAACAAGCACATCCAACGACATGCCGTTCTTCATCAAATTCCACAGTGATTCAAGAACAAGCTCATGCAGCCCTTGGATCCAATCAACAACAAAAAGGAGATTAAATCAGAGGACCATTCTTTTTGTAAAAGATATCACAAAGGATTGTACTCCAAATATTTTTGCTTTAATAATTATTATTTTGCCCATATTTTGTCTTTATATGCAGAGAACAAAATTTGTGTGTACAAATTTCTGGCACGCCTGGTGGGACATCATTTGTCTCTTATCTCTTTCTCCTACCATTAAGTTTTATCTCTGTCAAATTCTATGGCTCCCCCTAAGACTCCGACAGACAAAAAAGCCCAAAAGAACATCGCTACCACAAAGGTCGACGCCAAAGCCACCATGAAAAGTGGCATGAAGACCAAATCAAGTGATGGAAGTACCTTGGCGGGCCCTGTGACACATAGCAAGTCCCAGGCGATGGCTTCATCCAAACATCAGTAAGACTTAGTGAAATCCAATCCTGCAAAGCCGACAAACATGAAAACCCAACATGTCAAGAACCTTGACGTTGTTCCAGAGAGATTCTGCCACCAGATTCACCTCATTCCATTCATGATGCTCGTTCTAGTGTCGGTTCACCCCCAGAGTCACCACGTCATACTTCGGAGTATTCAATCATTTCAAGAAACGTTGACTCTTAAGGCCTATCATACTTAGATGTGGTCGCTGCTATGATGATTGGAGCTGCCACGGTGGAGGAACAACTAGCAACTATGTCTCATGCCATTGAGAACTTCATAAAGACTGTTGAAGAGAAGGACTTACAAATCGCCACGCTGATGAACAAATTGGAAATTCAGACCTTCGGTGAATCACCAGTATAATCTGGGCATCCTACATCTTCCACAACACCGCCAACTGGGAATTGTGCAACTTTCACACCACCACCATCTGGGAATCCTACACCTTCCATAGCAATGCCGACGGAGAATCTTAATTCTACCTCACAAGGTACTCGCATGGAGGACCCCAAACAGACACCGGTGACAGAACAGGTGGCTAGTCAAAACCAGACGCCCGTGACAGAACAGGCAGCTAGTCAATCCAATCATATTTCTTCAGTCTTTTCATTATCTGTCGCACAATTGCAAGATATAATAATGAATACAATCCGAGCCCAATATGGAGGCGTCTCACAGAGCACTCTCATGTACTCAAAGCCCTATACAAGGAGAATCGATAGTATGAGGATGCATGTAGGATAGCAACCTCTGAAGATTCAGCAATTTGATGGAAAAGGTAACCCTAAGCAACACATTGCCCATTTTGTCGAGACTTGTAACAATGCCGGGACAGAAGGGGACTTACTAGTTAAACAGTTTGTCCGCTTCCTTAAAGGAAACGCGTTCGAGTGGTACACCAACCTAAAGTCAGAGTCAATTGATAGTTGGAACCAAATGGAACGAGAATTCTTGAATAGGTTCTTTAGCACTCGTCGTACTGTTAGTATGATAGAGTTGACTAACACGAAGCAATGGAAGGATGAGCCTGTAATTGATTACATTAATCGGTGGAGAGCACTCAATCTTGACTGTAAGGACCGATTGTCAGAAATCTATGCTGTGGAAATGTGTATGCAGGGAATGAATTGGGGCCTTCTTTACATTCTGCAAACTATAAAACCTCGCATATTTGAAGAATTGGCAACACGCGCGCATGACATGGAGATCAGTATGAAATTCCATGAAGGCAAAAGTCCCGTGGCCATAGAACCACGCAAGGATAAGAAAGACTAGAAGAAGGGCGATAAGTCGTCAAAGACCGCTGCTAAAGATTCCATGGCTATCTCAACCACCCTAATTAAGATATCTGTTAAAGAGGATACGAATGATGATAAAAAGCCTCGCCAGTTTTAAGAGAGGGAAAGACAGTGTCCTACGCTAAAGGAGTTAGAGAAGAAGGAATACCCCTTCCCCGATTCTGATGTCCCTGGCATCTTGGAATGTTTACTCGAAAGTAAAGTTATAGAACTCCCTGAATGCAAACGCCCTCAAGAGATGGGACGTGTCAACGATCCAAAATACTGCAAATACCATCGTATTGTCAGTCATCCAATTGAAAAGTGTTTTATCTTCAAGGAGGTGGTGATGAATCTGGCAAAATAAGGAAAAATCTTGTTGGACACGGACAAAGTTGTAACTTCAAATCATACTACTACTACTGTGACAACCTCTGTTGTGGGGAGTGCTCGTTCTCAACCTTCAATTTCTGGGGTATATTGCACAACCATCCAGTTTGGCTCATTAGAACCAATCCTCATCTCTCTTGGTAAAGGGAGTGCACTTGACGTTTCAACCTTTGGAAGGGTCTTTCCTCAGGCTGATAAAGAAGGATGGACTCTGGTGGCAAGAAAGAAACCATGGAAGCAACGAGCTGATATTTTTCAGACTAGTTATTCTGACAGGGGCCAAAGGAAGAAGAAACCTCAATATCACTATAAGCAGTCTGGCCATAACAGAAAATAGGTCAAGAAGACACAGTCAACCAA